TTATAATTCTGTGCCATATTCACAGACGAAACACACGGCACTTGTGAAACTGATAATCTTGAAAATCACCGATCCATTCAAATTTTGAAAATAAAATGAGCTTGGGGAGGCTTTGGGGAAGTTGTGGTCCTTAATAGGCTACATAGCTCTTTGCACTTTAAGGGAAAACATTTAAAAAAGATGTCTTTCCCCAAATGAAATATTGTAGCACCAGATAGCACCGTAACAGCAGATAGGAATCTTTGCTAACAGGGTTCGCTTTGTTAACCCGATTGCCGTTCTTCAACCATTTTTACAAAACCTGTAGGACATCATTTGGACGACTTATGCATACATGAAACGAGCACGAGAGAACCCTTTTTGTTTGTGCGGCGATTTCGGCTGGAATGGGGGGCTTTAAAAAAATTTTGATCTGCAATTCTTCCTTGTCTGAGGTCTCTTCTATGTAGTTCAAGCAATTTGTCATCCGATTAGCCTGATGAAGCATGGCGAAGTTATTTGAACTGTAAATTTTCCGCAGGCAAAATAAAATGCAAAGAGGAAGAGCTTCCTGTGCCTGCCAAAGCAATGATCCTTGGAATACAAATAAGAGAAAACCATGCTGACAGCAAAAGCTATTTTTAAATTCTGTCACTGGCTCGCAGGCATCATGCCTTTAACCGGACTGCATCTGTATTCTCCAGCCCCAATAAGAGCGAAGCTCTTGTCTTAAAGAACAGCTCTTTAATCACAGCGAAGGAAGACGCTTATGCGGATATGAGTGGTGATTGCTGGTTCACACTCAAGTGGAGTGTTTACTGTTCAAGCCAATCTTGACGGAGAAGCAGGAACAGGAAGAATTCCCAGCACATTTGCAAGATATTGGAGCATGCTATGAGGGAGAAGTAAGGGGCTACCCCTGCCGGTGACATTAAACGATCTTAATGCCTTGTAGGAAGAACTAGTGGGAAGTCCTCACTTGCTCGAGCAAATCTGTGTAATTTACATCATGACACACTCCAGAAGACCTCAGGGGTGGAACAAAATCCCCAGAGAATCGAAGTCAGGACTTCTCCATTAGGGTTTATTTCAATAGCTCGGAGTCACATTGAAGATGGGAGTATTTTGCCTAGTCTTCCATATCTTCAGCATTTGCACAGTCTATCCGCTCAGCTGGTTCCATGGCAACGTGCGGCCGCACAACAGGGACATGCCTCTTGGTCCTCTTTCCTCTAAATGGCTTCAGCTCCATAGAATTTGTGGCTTTGTCCTCAAGGGAACTTGCCCAGGAATCAAGAAGCCCGAGCTTACGTTTTTCACATAGGCAACAACTTGTCTCTCGGTGGTGTGTCCATCTCTTTTATCCCATCAATTTAATCTGGCAGGCTGAGAAACACAGAATCTTACAGCGAATGCTGCAATGAGTACCTCTCAAACCAGGCCTGGAGGTGGCAAGTCTCTGTCAGGAACAGATCTATTAGCAAAGCACAGAACAAACTTTTATAAGAGAAAGAAAGAAAAGACAGATATGAGATTCAGCCGATACTTCTGGAAATAAATCACAGTATCAAAAATACATTTAGGGCTGAAATTTATTGTGTGTATCGGTAATATTTAAGCATGGGGATAGACATACATCGAAGCTTGTGAAGTACTCCATACAGTTCTAAAATTAACTTTATCAATTGTCCAAGTTTAACTGGAAATTTGTTGGCATACGTCTCAAGAAACAATGGAGTAAGCCTTTGGGGGTGAAGTAAAACCATTGGAGAATCACAGCACCCGCTGGAGTATAGAGACAGGTAACTCCTAACTGCTGCCTCTCATGTTGTTTTTGCTGCATTAGCTGCCTTTGGGGCGCAAGCCGGGGTAGTGCTTATGGAGGTCCTAGGCTGTCAAGACTTGGCCTCATTGATGTGGTCCAAAGGAAAACAGAACAGTACATTTGGCACCAGCTTGGCTGCAGGACTTGCCAGAAGGAGGCATACAGGACGCCATCCAACTGTCATAGGGACTCCACTCTAGATTTGTGCAGGCTTTATGCCTTAGCCTTTTCTTCTCTCAAAGATGTTCTGGAGGCAGTGGGTACGGATTTTTCCTCAGGGTTTACTCCCGAAGCCTGTCTCACGAATAAGTATAGGCAAAACAGAGCTCGGTGAGGAGCCACCTATGGAACAATAAGCAAATGGGTGATCTCTGCTTATTGTACACTGATGAAATCCTAATTCCTCATGCTTCTGAAGTTCTGCAGGGCCATTCCCTCCTTTGAGACATGTTTTGAAAACTATATTGTTTAGACACGCCTTTGAAATGAAATGAAATAAATAAATCTCATTCTAACCAATCAGTATTTACTGATGCTTTATTGATTTTTCTAATGGCGTTCTTATGGATCAGCTTTCTGCTGACTTAATTTTTATATGCTGGTCCTGCAGGTTATGACTATGTCAATAAATACCGTATTTTTTGCTCTATAAGACTCACTTTTTCCCTCCTAAAAAGTAAGGGGAAATGTGTGTGCGTCTTATGGAGCAAATGCAGGCTGTGCAGCTATCCGAGAAGCCAGAACAGCAGGAGGGATTGTTGCTTTCACTGCGCAGCGATCCCTCTTGCTGTTCTGGCTTCTGAGATTCAGAATATTTTTATTCTTGTTTTCCTCCTCCAAAAACCAGGTGTGTCTTGTGGTCTGGTGCATCTTATAAAGCGGAAAATACGGTGAATGTGCCATCATGTCAAGAGTTCCTTTCTGCACTTATGTTTCCATGAATACACATGTGTGCTATTCTATAACTCAAAAGGTGAGGAAAGATGGAGGAGATGCAAACTGAAAACTATGGCAAACTGCATGCACAGTGAATTTAAGAAGCAAGATACAGTTAACACAGATAAAAGCCCATGGCACTATTTTAATGTCTGTTAGGCTTCACACCCCCAGATTTTGGGCAGCAAATTTCATCTATGCACTGGTAACTTCCAGATTGGATTACAGCAATGCACACTCTACATGGGACTGCAGCTTAACTGCTCATTGGAGCTTGGCTGCTCACTGTGACAGAATATCATCATCTTCATTATTATACCACTGTTGAAAGAACTGCACTAACTGCCAATTAGTTGCCGGGCTAAGTTCAAGGTTCCTGTATACAAAGCCCTGTAAAGCTTGAGACCGGTTTACCTAAATGATACTCTCATCCCTTATACAGCAGATCACTGTTCTGCAGGAGACAGCAACTAACAGATACCATCTTATCAGAAAATCTGCTCTGCACTGTTGGAGCTGGCTCTTTAGGGTACCTGGCCAATACCTACCCCTTGAAACACCCTCCCATTACATATCAGAGAAGTCCCATTAAAAAAGGGGGTTCCTGTTGAAGACTCCTCTTTCAACAAGCTTTCTTGATGGGGATTTTTTTTTATCCCAGTTGGTATATGAATTAATTGTATTTTTAAAATAATATTTGCAATTGTTTATATATGTGCATTTGTTTTAATTTTGTATGCAGTGATTTTGTACAGGTTTTTATTGCACTGTGAAATAATTTCAAGATGCTTCATAGGAAATTACTCATAACTGAAATTGTTGTTGTTGTTGTAGTAAATGAAAAAGGTTATGGGCTTTTCCTTTGCTTAAAAAACCCCAAACTTTAAAGGGGCTCTACACAACCATCCTTGGAGGGACCTGTCTGTATTTGGGCAGACGTAATCCACTCCTGTGCCTATAGATTTCATCCACTTTGACCAAAAGTGGAAAAGTTATAGTAAATTTAGGATTCCTCAGTACGGTGGTGAATAGGGAACACACTGATTAATTTTCCACAGAGCAGCTCACGGAGCAACTCAGAAACAGATGGGAACTTTTTAAAATTACACAGAAAGAAGGTGAAGCTTGGGAGCAATGCACTCCATAATATTTACTTTAATATTTGTGCCCTGCTGCCATTTCCTAAAGTTAGCTAGCATAACTATTAAAACAATAAGGGCTGTAGACAAGGGTCGCAGTCCCACTCAGAGCAGACCCACTGAAATTATTCAACGTGACTATGTTAAGTCTGTTGATTTCATTGGGTTTACTCTGAGTAAAACTGAATTGGATACAACCCCTGAATGATTATTATTTTACGAGCCCCTGGAATCCCTGGATTCTCTCACCGCTTAGAGCTTGGGATGGCAAACAACAATATGCTGATATTTCAGGCAATGTACAACGTATGGGAAAACAAGAACAACACACCAGCCCCCTAAACAGTAATAAAGAAACCCATTACACAAACAGTAAACAAAGCAATAACTAACTTGCAGAGAAATGAAAACTCAACCCATCCTCCTTAGCCCCCAAATCATTCACATTTCTCCTCCTTAACCACGCCACCCATAATTCTAGCGTCAGGCCAGGTACTGCAAATCAGCGATGGGGAGTGGAAGTCTAGGGTCCCACTCCAGAGATGCTCCAGCATCTCTCCTCTCCAGCAGCTAAAAGGGCCCCTCGTGACAGCCTTGTTCCACGTGAAATTCAAAGGGAGGGTGATATGACCTGTGCTAGAAATGGAGCTGAGACCTTTTCTTGAACATGGGCAGACAGCTGTTCACCCACCCAGCCCTGTGCTTGGTGGGGCTTTATAGAGGGATGAGACCAGCACTGCCTCTGCAGGAAGGTGAGGAAAGGGCAGGCCGATCACCATGTCAGCTGGAGATGGCATAGCAATCAGGCCTGGATGCTACCACGCAACAGCCCTAGGCTCTCCCCAGCTTTGGAAGACCCAATCTTAGGGGTTTTCAGCTGGCCGCCGCCGCCAGTGGCAATTCTATCTGCCCCCACATTTGATGGGTGGAAAAGAGAGCTCTGCACCAGCAGAGTGCGCAGGCAGTGGTTGGTGGATTGCACTTCAAGCTAGAAAAATTCATTTAGGAACGTAGGCCTTATACGAAGTCAGAACATTGGTCCACCCCATTTAATACTGTCTATATGGACTGGCAGCAGCTCTCAGGGGTTTCAGGCAGGAGTTTCTCCCAATCCTTCCTGGAGATGCCACTAGGAATTGAACCTCGAACCTTCTGCATGCAAGGCTGATGCTCTAGCCATTGAGCTATGGTCCTTCCCCTTTCCAAATGCACAGAGGATGCCCATCCCTACATGTTGCTTAAGCTTCGATGGGTTAAAACACACACACACTTTCTAAAATATGAACAGCAAAGCTCTTCTCCTTTTGAATGTTCCTGCAGAAAGAGGAGGGGGCTTTCTTCCGAACTATTAGCAGTGACTTTTTCCCTTTTATAACAAGGGTTTTACCCTGCAGGAGAAGAGAGGGAAAGAGGCAGAGTCAACGTCACGGATAAAATTCAAGCCCAAACCTAATTTTCATGCTCTACTTCTTTGGCTGGATCAGAGGTCCTGACGGAGATCCTTGAGAATGTGGAAAAAAGTAAGAGTGAGTATGTGAAAGCAAAAAAAGGCAGCTTGTCTCAAATATGTAATTCGGTCCCCCCCCCAACACCGTCCCACCTTTTCAGATTGCGAGACTACACAGATCACCAGTCTTGTTTCTTCAGTGCAGAAGCTGCCAGAGAGAGAACCCACACAGGAGTTTTTCAGGGACCTAAATCCATTTCCCCTTCCTCCTTAGGTTGACCCATTGGAAATTGACCAATAATCCACCAGTCACTCCCAGATGAAGTTTACCACTGCAGAGATGGCCAAAGAACCATTTCAAAAATGGCTGGGAGCTGCCATTTTAACTCCCTGTGCCTGGCCTAATGTCATTCCATGGTGTTGTGGCAAATTAAAATGGAGGCTCACAAGCCCAGTTGCCTGGTGTGAAGGGCCTGCCGTAGGCCTCACCACTGGTGGATCCTGATGGGGCATGGAAGCCACCCTAGGATGTCAAAGGCTAATACCACACCTGACGTGGGAACTGTGGGTTACCCTCGTCTGGAATATTCATTGAAGAAGCTGGAGATTTTAGAAATATTCATCACTGTTGTGGTGGTTTGGTTTTGTCCAATTTTCTTCGGATTCCCTCCGCCACTCTACTGTATCCTTTTTCCCCCTCCAAAATCATGTGGAAGAAGCAATCAGCAGGGTGCCAGCTGATCGCATTTCAGATGGGCTGCTACATTCGCTTGAATTAGCAAGCGTCTATTTTTAGGCGAAATTTTCCTTACAGGTACATAACAAACAGTACACAAGGGAGCAGCTAATTAACTGATTACGTCCGTTAGAGAGTTGCCTCAAAAGGTCAAACTATTCTCAGGTCTGTGCCAGCAAAAACAGCTGTCAACGTTTTGATCATCTCTTTGCTAATTATAAGGAGAGTTTTCAATGCCTTGGTCTCTGTTGGGGCAATTAGTACTCATGCCTTTACCGTAACATCTACTCTAAACCTTATGGTAACGCTTTGGAAATTTCAGCTCAGTCCCTGAGATCATTGGCAGGTGTGCCTTTGGTCGTTCCTCACGTTGGGGAAGCTCGATTGATAACAATGGAAAACAGAGCCTTTAGTGTCATCAGCCCAGTCCTGTGGAACACCCTGCCACTGGAGATTCAGCATGTGCCATCTGTGTCAAGTTCTAAATGCCTGCTGAAAACTTTTCTGTCCTGCCAGGCCTATTCAGGTGATTAAGAGTATGTTCCCTACAATGGACTATCAACCCTTGTTTTTATAAAACACAATTTTTTACTTTTATCTTGGGGTTTTTTAATATTTATTGAATTTTATAACAAATAATGATACAAATCTCATTCATCATGTAATTTACAATTATTCTCCCTCCCCTCCTCTGGACTTCCCTCAACTCCCCCTCTGCTGAGTTATTTAGTTTTATTTATTGTATCTTGATTTTCCTACAAGCTTCTATCTTGTTTTAAACTTTTTTTGTGATTTTATTGTTTGGTTTTATGTTTTTATATTGTTGTAAACCGCTGTGCTATATCTTTATGTTTTCTCCTGGTGTCTAAAGATATGCAGTGAAGGCGCCAGGCAGGCTTTCCACAAATGGAGAGCCACCTCAGAAAAGGCCCACTCTCATGTTGCCACCTCAGGATCTCTCGTGGAGGAGGCACATTAAGAAGGGCCTATACAGTGCTAATCCTACTAAGAGTAGACCCAATGAAGTCAATAGACATTCCTTATGAATTTCAGTGGGTCTATTCAAAGTAGAACTTAGTTGGATACCACCCATAGACAAAGAGTACGGTCCTGTTTGCTTAGAAGGGAGTAACACTACAATTCTAAAACATCATACTGAATTCAGTGGAGATTAGTCACTGGTGAATGTGGTTAATATTGTAGCATAAGCATCCTTGAATTTAGTAGCACTTACTTTTGAATTCTATTGGAGTCTGCTGCAAATCTGGTGAACCAGCACTATACCAAACAAGGGCAAATAAGAAATGGAGGAGGGGACCCATTATACACATTGTCTAAAAATCAAGAAATTAAAAGCACATTCTACTCCAATAATAATAATAATAATAATAATAATAATAATAATTTATTATTATGGTCAGAGACCAGCTTGTAAAACACATAATGGGACTGCACTCCCAAAAGCAAAACAGACATTTAAAACAATATAAACACCCACCTCCAATAAATGGCATTCAGTGGAACACCAAATCTGCAGTTATTTTCTTCCTCCTTGCTTATTTCATTTTACTTTATTGACAACAGATTTCTCCTTTCCCAGTTTTTGTTGTTCCTTTTAAATAAAGGCTCTGTGGGTGTACAACATACCTGCTGCAACATTGTACTGCAGCGCTTGAAGTGATTCCGTTGAAAGGGGTCGTTGATCATCCCACTTCACATCTCTAGTGTAAAATTCAGCAGTCAAAGCCACTGCTCCAGGCTGGCAAGTGCTGTGTGTTTAATTAAATTAGATTAACTACATCATTCGGCAAACATCCCCTTTGTCTCTTCCAGTGCAATATCTTAATCTCTCATTCCTCATTGCAATCTGCGCTGCAACCACACGGTGGTGCCAAATGGCTTAAGAAAAGGAAGGACTGTTTAGTACATACTGTGAGTCAGGGCAGCTAACAGTGAGTTTGGGCCCCGGGGGGGGGGGGGCATTTGAGACCCTCAGCAAAGGAGAACCAGCTAAATATATTTACATGGGATATAGAATTACCTCGTTGTTATATGTATAATAAATCTCACCGTGTTGAGAATATTAACAGGAACAAACAGGGTGGTATTCAAATGTAACAATGCTGTCCAGGGTTGTAAAGACTGCAGAGAGAATAATAGGGTGCACTCTTCCCACCTTAGATCAAATCTATGCTGCCAGGTGCCATAAGAAAGCTGCAGAGATAGCGCAGGATAGTAAGCACCCCGGAAATGATCTCTTTCAGTTTTTCAATTTCATTGTTCTGCATGGGACAATGACAATAAAGATATCGTATATAATAATAAATCATTTGATAAATAATAATAATGGCGCTTGTGGAAATCTCCAGTGAAAATATGGTGTTCTGCTGCTGCAAGTGCTTGGGTTAGATGTGGGTTTGTTTTTGAGACCACTGTTGCTGAAATATTGTAAGCACAGGAACGCTTCGAAGTGGTCTTTATTAGCCAACCAGTTTGACTGCCACATTCAGGACTGAACCAGAAGAACTCTGCAGGAACCCAGAAGAGACCAATGAGAAACAAGCAAAGCAGGAACATCCCCGGTGGCTTTTGGCGCATGTTAGCACCATTATCATTTCCACCAATGGCTCGTGGCACCCTGGGTGCTTGTGTGATGGTGGGAGGGCCATAGCTCAGTGGTAAGAATCTTTTTTCCATGCATAAGATCCCAGACACCACTCCCAGCATCTCAAGTCAGGGCTGGGAGAAAACCCAGTCCAAAATCCTGCCGAAATCCAGTGTGGACAATAATGAACTAGACAGACCAATAGCCAGACTCAGTATAAGGCAGCTGCATGCATTCTTGTGTGTTGCAGCCAACACACCTGAACCAGAAGGAATCCTGATGCTTGCAATCATTTATTTCATTGGTTTAAACATCTCAGTTCACTGTCGGTATTTGGGATGCAGACTAAAAGGAGCCAAAAGCACTCAACAATAGCCCTTGAGTATTTTTTTTGGAAAACAAGTGCCAAAGGAGTAAATACATTTGCATGGAATAAAGACATTTGCAGTACCGCTAGTGGAAAATCCTTAGCCATACCTACTCTTCCTTAACAAGCAGACACAAACTTAATAATGTACCTGCTGATTTTAACAACATCCTACAGGAATTGAAACATCAAGAGGATGTGCTCTCCATTTGTCTTACACAGTTTTACTCATAAAGACCACCTATAAATATTTGAAGCCATGAACTAAATATATACCTCCTAAGTCCACCTGCAGCTTCAATTCCTTTGGAGTCTTTATATTTTGGGAAAGGGGAGGCAGAAGAGCGTGATGAGCAAAGGCTGGCGCCATTTGAAAAGGACGGCTGCTTCATCTTGTGAAGACGGTCTCTGAGGCTCCAGGGTACTCTGTGAAAAGCTAATATTTCATCAAGAGGAGTTCTAATCGACTATCTCCCTGCTTGAAGTAGCCACAAAATTACACAATAGGTTAATGAAAGGGCAGCGCATACTGTGACACTTTCAGGAGGGATAACTGAAGTCAAATATCTTCATGGGATGGGAAAATAATATTCACCCTTGAAAGCAGGCTTCTGCAAACCACTCCGTATGTGTTTGGGATTACAGCTACAGCACAGCCAATGTGGGGGGAAATTCAGGGATGATGGCAATTGTATTCCAAACATCTGGAGTGCACCAGATAGGGGGAGGCTGCTTTCAAAGGTGATTTGGGCAGGTCTTAAAATATTATCTGTTTATATAATACCCTCCATGGCATGGCACTTTGCAAACATAGGAAGGTGGGAAGCTGCCTTGAAAGAGTCCTCCACAGTGATGAATGGCCCCTGCCCAGTGAGGCCATCTGATGGACACATCTGCCATATCCTTCATGACATCAGGGCTGGTTACAATGGCTCTCTAAGCATTTATTGTGGCTTATCCTTGGGGGCGGATATTATCCTTAAAGAATGTACGACGAGTGAACCGTAAGACCGAATGAACAATAATATGGGGAAATGA